ATAATAAAAAGTGGGGAGTCCAATTAAAAAAAATTCAATTTGACCTTCGTATGACCTTCGTCCTCCATCCAAAGTCAAATTTTTAGCCATCATTAGGTACATTTTATTAAGCCCTACAACTTTGTTACTTACATATTTTTCGCTACAGTTGATCCTTTTCGAGATATTTGACCGTTTCCGGACTTTTTGCCAACCCTGTATATATATATATATATATATATATATATATATATATACACATACATGTGTGTGTGTGTATATATATATCACGGCTATTCGCTTTTCCTCGAGAAAATCGTGATTTCTATAACGTGAAGGATGGATATCCGAACTGATCTCATAACGAAGTCTACGGGGAGTTAAGTTTACAGCGTTCCTTCGACACACACCGATGTTCCCGTTCACTTGTGCGCGCGCGCTCACGCCTTTATCCACTCTCACCTTCGCACGATCTGAACAGAGCCTTATTGTGCACGGTCTTCTCGCTAAACTCCGGAAGGAGGCTTGGATGTGTTGTACCGTCGCGCGTCCCGAGTGTAATTTTATTATCTCTCGCGCCCCCTTTCCGACGCTCCATCACTCTGTGAAGTCTCTCCTTCGCCCTCGTCGCCATCGCGCGCTGTTATTTAAGCAGTATTTTACCTTTGGTCTTTTTTCACCCCGTCGCGCCGCTGCCCTTCTTACCAGCAGCCACCCTCAACCTCTCGGCCGCGGTCCTCGTCATCCCGTCTCGGCTTCCTTTTACCGAGGCGAGTCCGCCGCTCTCGTACCTTCGCTACGGTGAAATTATGCAGAGAAGGCGACGATGGCTATCTCGCCGTACAACCAACGCTTTTCTTCGTCGCTGTTGCCGCGACGCCTTGTATCCCCTTCGAGACGCCTCTCGCCTTATCCCGAGAAGTGTGTCTCGCGTGGATAAGGCTACTGCCGGCAGTTCGCGGGGTTTACACCTCTCGGACGATCGCGCGAAGGTACGTCTTGAAGCCCGGAAATCGCGGCGTTATACGACCGGTAAAAAAAGAGGAATGAATCTCGACGTATTCTCCGGCGAATGCGCTCGTTCTACTTTCGCTCTTATGAGCGATTTCCGCGGATCGACGCGCGATTATTTATTGACATCGGCGACACGAGTTGTAATTTTGGTTCTGGTTTCACCGTGAGATCATCTATTAGAACCAAATCATATTTTCAGGCATAGTAATCTCGCAAAAAAACCACTACTCAACCTGTGCATAGTGATGCACTCTATCGGTTTTTTTGTGTTACTCGTATTCGCTTCAAAAAATTTGCACGATGAAATCACCCTTATTTGAATTCGATAGAAAATCCTTTAAATCGAAACGAGTGGACGACCACACTGGTAAATTTTCAAAGGCGAAGATACGATTCGATGACACATCTGGAACACATCCGGACTCATACGGAACACATCTGGACTATAGACCTATAAATATATAGACTCCTCATAAAGAAATGTGTCTCCATCAGAACTGAGAAAGATGCAAAATAACTTCACAGTGTGAAGTGTGGCTTAATATCTCGAGAATGTTGATTGTGTTATAATCTCTTAGTCATGATTATTTGATGCTGTTTGTCGGCCAGCGAGATTATGTACGCGTCTTTTGTTTCGGCGGACGATGACAATTCGTGATCGACGGGAGATGACTTCGCCCTTTTTGCCGATATTGTTTTGGTTCTGTCTGGCGTGCGTTGTGTACTTTCCCGCGCGACGGCGGTTAGAGATGAACGGAAGATGACGTAGTTGTTTTCATTCATTGTTTTGGAATTGTCGCGCCTCGTGTATGTTTTCGTGACTGAGCCATTGTGCCGACGAGCGGCGAACATAGCGCGTCGCGACGCGGAGCACGTGTGTATCGACGAATTAGTTAATCATTCCTGTCGGGCGATTGAGATATTCCGTCAACTTCTGGAACATTTAAGCGGACTATTGTCGACGTCGGATTAGTTCACACGCGTTTCTCCGATCGAATCGTATCTTCGCGAGTGTCAATGCCATAAGTGAATATCCGGAGTATGCCACGTCGCAGCAGTCTGTCGGGAGCAGGAAAACAGGATGAAGGATGCAGAGTGGAGGCACGCGGGCAACAATACATCGCATATTTACAGGTGTGTCAATTTATTTAATATACGGAATGTCTTTGATTTTCATGGACGTTTAACGAATTCACGAGTTTTACGGGCGAACGAACAGATAGTTAAGATAGAACCAAAATTTCGACTCGGGCGTGAGCTGCGAGCAAAGACGTGCATTTACCGTGTCTCTGAACTTTAGTTACCGTCGCGAAGCGAGATACGAAAAGTCGGTAGGAAAATTTTACTCTTTGCGGTGCACAAGCCGTATTATTTATTTTTAATCGACTTCAAAAGAAAGTCTGAGTTTGTATGCTTCTATACATATGTCAGGTACGTTCTCTCATAACTCGAAAACCGTTAAAGATACTGAGATAAAATTTTTTGTAATTTATTCAGTATGTTATCTGCACAGTTCCTAAAAGGTGTCATTACCCTGGCTTGTCCAGTTTTGACCTGTTGACCTTTGAATTGAATAATTCTATTGCTTTTTTGAAAATCCAGGAATATCTAGAGATACAAGACATTATATTTTCAAAATCTTTTTCAAAATCAGAAAGATTTTTTTCAAAATCAGAAAGATTTTTTTTAGTCGACTTGAGAAACAAACTTTTAGTAAATAATTCAAAAACATAAAATAAAAAAATTTCAAAAAGAAATAAACTTATTTTGAAAACCTCAAAAAATAATAAAATAATTTTGAATCAATATTCCTATGTATCTATTTATAAGTATGTACCTATCTTGATATTCTAATGATATAAATAGTTAATACGAAAAAAGTTATTTAGATAGTTAACTAATTATATAACTAAAGAAATAAATAAATATAATATTATTAACTCAATCGATCTCATATTTTCGATTTCATATTTGAGATTTTCAAAATTAGTTTATTTCTTTTTTAAAACTTTTTATTTTATGTTTTTGAATTATTTAATAAAAGTTTGCTTCTCAAGTCGACTAAAAAAAGTTTTTTTCTAATGTTGAATAAAAATAAAAGTTTTGTTTTGTATCTCTAGATATTCCTGGATTTTCAAAAAAGCAATAAAATTATTATTGATTCGATCGATCAGGTTTTTGCGCCAACTTCTAATATCGTTAGAATAGGGTTGCAGGTACACTGAGAAAGAGATATCTAAAAATTTATCTGTGGGATATAAAGTTTGTTGAAATAAATTTTATATCAAAGAAATAAACTTTCATAAAAAATAAATTTCACAAAATATTTTTTAAATATTTTTCCTCATTTTGTACACAGGAATATTGAGTAAAAATGATTTTATATTTTTTAGAGCTTTATAACTTTTACGGTTTCTGGAGACAGCTTATTTTTGGTGAACGTTTATTACTGGAGGACCGTGTCGAATTTAAAACAACGAAATATGACACGCAAATTTTCTGTTTCACTATTTTGGCTTCAAAGTGGCGTAACGATCAACGGGCAGGATTAATTATAATACCGACGCGTTGAAACATTCCCACAAAAATGTCGTCGCGACGCTTTTCAAGGGTGTCACTCTCATATATTTGCATATTCAATATTTATGCGAATACATCCCTTTCTCTTTAATGAATAAAACATTCTGTAAGAGGTCAGCTGGCTGCGTGAAGGGCCGAGCGTAAATCTATGTTATTAATTAAAGATTAGTCGAATAAGAGCTCGTTTCGAGAGACCGGTGCCCTCCCTGATCCATGAAACGCGCGTGTGACTCGTTGGACGGTTGCATAAATTTTCAATAGTGAAGCTCACGCTCACACGAGATCTTCATACGGTTTGTTTCGCTTTCGAATTTTGCAAAGAATCGATGCTTTTGAAGTTGCAATGTTTATTTGATAAATCCCGGTGTATCCTTTGTATCGGACGCGAAGAAACGTTTATTCGTCTTTGTATTACTGCTCACTTAACGGTGTTGTAACGTTTGAAAGTTTCGCGACTTTCATTCTCTCGTGAATCCGTGTTACCTGTCTATCACCGAGACAGTTAAATGAGATCAACTTTTGATATCTTTACTTAAGGTTTCCTGCTGCGGAATTTTTTAGTGATGACGTCAGAAGCGAGAAAATGTATGTCCAAAATCCTTGCATGCCATTTATTATTCTCAAATAATTATTATTTGTCACACAAAAATATATTTTTATGAAAGAACGCCTCAAATTGCTTGAATATTCTTGCAAAATGCTGCGAAAACTTTTCCTTGACAGTCAATGAATAGCCGTAAAATTAATGTGACATTCAGCTCTCCTCTTTAAGGGAAAATTCTGGTTGAAATGGTGAAAAAATAAGAGACTAATGAATTTTTCGGCTACCTAAACTAACACATCTGTTTCATCTACCTTCTTTTCCTCAGGATTTTGTCTCGTAAATTTTATGGCTGTTTGTTGACTGTCAAGGAAAAGAGTAGTTTTCGGGGCATTTTACAAGTATGCTTAGCGATCTCAAGTGTCCTTTCGTTCAAATATCTTTTCACTTGAAGATGGCATGCGAGAATTTCCAGCGTGTCACTTCTCGTCTTTGACGTCACGCTTCAACGTGGGGTGGCGAGCACCCAGGAGCTTTAAAAAGGGCTCACTCTGGATTAATCCGGTGGAGGCGCGACGGCCTGTGCGATTGGTACGACATATAAATGGCGGTAAAAATAAAAATATCGATACGTATAAGGTTAATTATCGATTGTCGAGTGTGCACGATGTTAGGGAAAAAAATTTCCTTTGTGACGTAACGTAAGGAGAACGTCGAAGCGGAGCAGCGGTTGACGTACTCACAGTGCACGTGCAGCATCATTCGTTTGCTGACTGTCGGAGGCACTCCGTTGCTGGCGATGCACAGGTAGGCGCCCATCTCGCCCCTCGTTACTTTCGACAAAGTCAGCGTTTCGCCCTCTGTACTGGGTACTGCAATATGCAAGCGCGAGGAACGGTCTGAGAAGTTAGCTCGTTACACGTAATCAAAGTGTACAACATTAATAGCCGATCGGCTTAACTCGGAATGCTCATAAACGTTCATGCGGAAATTCGCCGTTATTGCATTTACTTTATTTTCCGCCCTTTGATTTATCGCGGATGCGATGTATTCCGCGTGATTAAAAATGCTACTCCGCTACCGCGCGATCTCGTCAGAGTTCATTTCGAGAGCGGAATCGCACTAGCCAGCTGAATTTTAAATTTTGAATCTGAACTTTCGGGGAACCCGCATAAAAATTTCTGAACATTTCTCCCGCCCCCTTTCCCCAGATAAAGCGTAGATTCCGATCAGGTTATCTAAATTTGTTCAAAGAGGGATGTATCATATTGCGATATCCATTAGGAATATTTATTTCGATTATAGGAACTTTTCTGAATATATTTTGATTGGGATGTGTTCTGATTTCCCAAATAATTAAAGTTACGATTTTAAATAAGGAAGCTTAAGGACAGAAGAAAAGCAAGAGCGAAAGAAAGAGAGAAGACACAGGAAATACATAACGAAGTAAGATAATTAGTATTTTCTATAATTATGATATTCATAGAAATGTATATACTGCCTTATTCAAAACATTTATAATTTATTTTAAAAAGATGTTGAGCGAAATATTTGAGACAGTTTGAATATTTATACTTCTTAAGTATTTATACTTGCAAAGTAGAGAAAATGAGATCTATCTGTTTTCAATTTGGAACCACATTTTTCCAATGTTACGCTTTCTAATTCAGTCTTCGTAGATTTCCCAATCAGAATCCATTGTCTTCTGGCGAAATAGGAATGGATTTCAGTTAGATACCAGAAGATTTTCTACGCGGATAGATTCCGCTTCTCTTATATATTATTTTATATATAGGGATTTTTGGGAAATTTCCATATGAACAGAATCATTAGTTTGACGAATCGGACTGGATCACAATTGAATCCCAAAAAACTTTCTATGCGGGAAGCTTTCTGGCGCTCTCGCGAGAATGTAGCTGAGCGTGGTCGATGGAAAATTTGAAAAGCATCAATTTCGATGTTTCGGACATGTGAGCGACGGCCGGTTCGATCGTGAGGTTCGCGCATTACTCCGATGGGATCGATTTTAATTGCGCCGGCAGCTTCGCCAAGGAAACGTCAGTGTTGCAGCGCCGCGGTATCGCTCCCTAGGGACGCGAAGTCAACTCGCCACGAAATAAAACTTGGAGTCCTTACGTTTTGTCTTGCCGCCGGGGAGGCCGGTACGCGCAATGATTTCGGTGCCGTCTTCCCGCTTCCACGTGATGTCGGGCTTGGGATAACCGCGCGCTTTGCAGACCAGCTTCGCGGCCCCTCCCTCGGGAACCATCAGGTCGTTCGTGGTCTCCTCCGAGATGATGTCTGGCGGTATTACCACCTCCAAAAACGCGCTCTGCGAATGCGGGGCAAGGTAAATTATAACGCGTCCGTGTGTATGTGTGTATTAGAAACGACCAAGAGGGAGTCCACATTGTAACGGGGATATTCAACGAAACCGCCGTGGCCGAATTAAAGTGGAAAACTCCGAGTTCGAGGTCACGTTTGTAAATTCGGGCAAATTTCAAGTGACTTCCGTGAGTTACTTGGAATTTAACATCGAGTTATAGGAGTCCTCCATTATGCTCGACGATATGTGCGGTGGTCATTCGGTTTACCGATGTCTTTCCGCGAGTCGCAGCCTCGGGAAGACTCGTTTCGCATCTCACGACGGGGTTTCGTGGGACGAGCCCGTGCTCGTCGTGCTCGATTTTTCATACGGTGTAATACGTGATACCGCGTACCTGGCTCTTCATGGGATCCGTGTTGACCTGGCACATGTAAATCCCACGATCCTCCCGCCGCGCTCCGCGTATGTGCAACGTCCACGTGTTGTAGTCGCTGTGGGTTACCGAGAGGCGGGCGTTGTTCGTGATCACGTGCTCGTGAATCGCCAGGATCGCCTTGGTGTCCGCTTTGATCCACGCCACCTGGCCTCACAAACCCATTTCTTAGAAGGCGGAATTTCTCGCGCGATCCGGTTCCACCCGCCCTCCCGCACTTCGCCTAATCTCATCGCTACGCGCGTCAACTAACACCCGTTGATTAACGATCTTTCGCTCTCGTCGCGAACCCTGATTTGGCGTTTTCGTCGGGTAGATACCTTGCGCAATTGCGTGTCCGGTTGAGCCTCGAAACTTTACAGTTTTCGCTGTCTCGCATTTGCGTCAAATCTTTCGGTACCGAATAATAGTCTGTTATATTCTTTTGACGCAAAAAGGATTCATTTTCTAGCAAATTTAATTCGATAGATTGAATTTCGTCGTGATATCGACTTTTGCTGTTCAAATTGCAGAGAAAATTAAAAAAAATCTGTCATATCACTGCAAATCTAAGTGTATAATTTTTGCACATTTACATGTACAAAATAGTGTAATCACTTTTTACGCATTATACGTATACGTTTTATACGTATTATTTTATACAGTTAAACGAGTACTTTTTACTCGTTTTACTGTACAAGATAATACGTATAAAACGTTACTGTCAAACGTTAAATGTACTTTTTAAACATCAAATTACACACTTAAAATTTTTAATTATTATGCGTCAAGATCACACTTATTGTAGTTATAATCATTGAAAATAATAACTGCTTATTAAATTATATATATATGTAGTAATATTTTGGATATATAATATATATAAATTTTTAACAATCCTTATATTTCTAATATATAAAGTCTTTGGTTCTATATAATTTAGTATAATGTGTGTATGTGCATGTAAATATTAGTTCATAATTAATTAACAAATATCATTAATTAACTATGAATGTGTTGAATTTTGTAGATAAAACATATCTATTTCAAATGTTTACTCTTGCAATAATTAATAATAAGCTTATAAGTTTACATTATTTATATAATTATGACATAAAATTCGATATTCTATATAATCACAAACAACATTACTAATGAGATATTATAGATTAGAGAGGGAATCCTCAATGTTTTTAGCGAACTTTTATAAAAAATACTCCAAAAATTTTCTTCAAAAATTTAATATATATTTCTTTACAATTATATGCGTTTAACTTACGTGTAAGAAGAACTAGATGTATAAAGTCGTTTCATGTGTGTATTCTCTACAATTTTCAATTACTTCAAAGTACACATTCCTTCATTTTTACACGTAGCGTGTCTCATCTTGTGTACGGCGAAACGTGTTAAATTGCACATTTAAATGTGTAAGTTTATCTTTTTTGTGTAAATTTATCTTTTTATGCAGTGTGTAATTTTTGCACGACAAGTCACACGCATAAATGTGTAATTTTACATATATAAGCGTGTGTTTACTACACAAACGCGGCGAGTAGCAGCAATATCACAGAAAAATATTTTCATCAAATAAGTCGCGGTATAACATACAGAGATACCGAAAGCTTCCACGCATCTAAATTAATCAGGACACGGTCCCCGTATTATCTCATGCGCTAATGCGGTGTCTAACTTGATCCTAATCTAAGAAAATATTTTCCTATCGTCGACTTTCCTCGGTTGTCGCTGAAATATTCGTGGGTGCAATCTTAAGCTCCCCGTCACGATTCGGATGTGAACTCGATTACGATAACGTCCAGAGAGATAGACGCTTTCTATTCGCGAATGAATGAAATATTCGTACATCGCCTCGGAGGGAATCAGAAGCTCGTAGAATCTCGTAGAATCGGTAGAATCTTCTCTTTATAGCGAAGTCCGCTTCGGCTCTTTCGCATCCCCCCCGGCGGGAGGGAACGCCGTTGCGCGCCATGACGTTCTGCCACTGTGTAAATATGAAGAATTCCGCGAGCAAAAACACGATAACCCGAGGAGCGTAACTTTTCCAGAACAAAAAAAAGAAAAGAAAAAAAAATAGAAGAAAGTAGCAACGAGACAACGAGTTAGTAGCAAAGTTCAGGCGCGCTTCACTCTCTCGTAGGATGTGACATTATGTTTACATTAAACGCGAGAAGCTTCGGGAGCTTAGATACAAAAATAGCGCGGAGAGATAAAAAAAAAGGAAGCATGGAAAAAAAAAGAGAGAAGGGAAGGAGTAAAAATCGACGAGTGAAAGAAAGACGGCATCGTCCGCGTTCGTCATATTGGTATAATTTATCATGAGTTCTTTGCGCGTTCCCGTAAATGTTCTGCAAGTTATATTACTTCCCAAGTAATTATCGTGACTATCCTCTAGATGTGGGTTACCGGGTTTTCGCTTCGCAATCCTACGTATCATCAACGCTAAATTGAACTCCCACCGGTTATTGCGGTCCGCCAAGCCGCTGATATACGCCCATTAATTAAACTCATTTTTTACGGATTAAAATCAATGTGAAGGGGGGAAAAAGCCCGGGAAGAGAGGAGAGAAATGGAGAAGAGCGGGAGGAGGCAGGGAAAGCGCAATTTTGACCCCGGTTAACACGTATTAGTCGGAATTCGCAGCTCCGCGGTTCCCGAATCGAAGTTATCCCCGGCGGAGGAGGAAACTGCAGCTTCCGCGCATCGCGAATATTCATCCTCCCCCGTCGCCGTTCGTCCTGCTCGCTCACTCTCCTCCTCCCTTCGCCGCTGCTTCTGCACAGATATTATTGGCATGAAATTGAACCCGTACCTCGTCGAATATCTGACCTCGCATCGCTCTGAAAGGCTATCTATCAACCGACAAAGGAGCTCTGCGGTTCTTATCGATAACTCGCGAGCGAAGTGTATAGAGGGCAGACGCGCAGAGTAGCAGGGCGGGTTACAGAGGGAGGAGAGGTTGGCGGGATGCGAGAGGGTGCGAGTGTTTGGTAGTGACGGCCCTGTGAGTGCCTCCACTTATAATACATTATGCCGGAGTATAGCGCGGCCCCATTCTCCTTTTCGGTGCGCCCTCCGATTTTGCGGGGGTGGCGGGCCTCCCGAAAAAGAGGGGTCGGAAAAGTCGCCGCGGGCGACAGACGCTCGCAGCCCCTGGAACGTTCGCGCCACACTCGGCTGTGTCCGAGCATCGTCGACTCGTTCGTCGATGATTAATCGCGCTGCACAAAAGGGGTTGCTAAAAATGCGCGCCGAGCGATGTTCTGTGCTTCAACGTAGTTTCTCAGATTCTCGCGAATCCCCCCCGATCGATGGGCCCCCGCGGCGGTGTTGAAGTAGCGGAAATTAAAATCGCGAGAATGAGAAATAAGAGAATAAGAAGGAAACGGAAGCTGCGAGTAACATTTTTGCCGGAAGATCGGTCGGATTGTAGCGGGAAAGTGGAAAATAGCGGATTTTCGCGAGCAGAACTCTTCACGAGAGGGAATTTAAAAAAAAAAAGAAAGAATCCAACGAATCGTGAGAAGATCTAAGTATAGAAAACACGATGAAATATTCGCGTATGCTTGTTTACGAAACAGTTCAAACATTTTTTTCCTAAAATTTTTGATTTTTCAAGGTGATTTATTTTTTTAAGTGGTTTGTTTCGTACTTTTTAATTATTTATTAGAAGTATGTTTTTGAATTTGGTTAAAAAAGCTTTCTATCTTAAGTCAGTTGAAAATAAAAATCTTGTCTTGTATTTCTAGATATTCGCGAATTTTTAAAGAAGTAGTAGAATTAATTTCCAGCTTACCCGAATAAACACGAATAATAATATTAATCTACGAAGCACGTAGATATCATATTGAAGTCACAAAAAGTTTTATTTTAATATTTTTAATAGTTCTCGCGAGTTGTGAGGAAATATACAAACAAGAAAACATGCATACAAGACAAACTGAAATCTTTCTTTTTTTGATAAGTCGATTCTAAAAACCCAAGTATTTTTATTATATTCTTATCTTTCTATCAGATATTTACATCTTATATTATCACTCTACTCAAAGTCGATTACTACCCAAGCAATTGTGATTGTGATTGACGGGCTCTTCATACTTCATCAGAAGAAATGTGTTCAAACCATTTCGCGAAGAGGTGTGCATAGGCAAATTCCGCGTACAGTACACGTGAAACAGACAGGAACTGTTTCCGCGCGCGCAGTCTTTATTTTGCACAACCTCATGACAGATCTCTCGCGTCAGGGAATAGACGATATCAAAACCGTTGTCGGAAGCGACAGAGAACGTATCCATAGCAACGCGCGCGGCATAACATCGCAGGATAACGTCGCGGGAGCGCACGACGAGCACCGGCGCCAGCAGCTCGAAGGCGCGCACAATACGGCTTCGTCGCTCCTTCCACTATTAACTCACGCATCCGAAAGTCAGAAACTCGAAAGCCGCGCGATCTCGCGATCCCGCTGCGATTCCCCAAAAAGGGAAATCCTGTACGCCGAGGCGAAAACCGCCATTTTCCACTTTATCCTCGCCCTTCTCAGGTGGCACGCGGCATCGGGCACATGTCTCTCTCGTTGATCGAGGAAAGCCCCGCGAATTTGCAGCACAATGAGGCAGGCGGAGGATTTAAAGCGGGAAGAAGATAGGAGAGGGGAGGGGCGCAAGGGGTACGAACGAGGGTTTAAAAGGCGCGCCGTGCCCTCGTATGGAAACGAGTCTCTATCTTAACGCAAAGAACGACCTCTTTACCTAATGCAGTTTCCTCCCAGGATACTTTCGACTCTCCGCAACTCGCCTCCCACCTCTCCTGTCCGATCTTCGTGGTCCTTTAAGGAATGCCGATGGCGGGCAAGAAGGGGTAGGAGAAGCCGCGAAGGAGCCGCAGAACGGCAGCGGAACAGACGGATAGATAGACGCAAAGAGATTCGGGGATGAGCGAGTGAACGCGACGAGGGTGTGGGGTAACTTCCCTAGTCCGATATAATATCGCGTTACGCGCACCTACTCGTCGGCTCCTCCCCACTCTCTCCGCCAGCTTTGGCCTCCGCGTTCCCTCCATTCTCGGTCCCTCTTTCATATGCAAAACCATCGCCGGCGCTCCATTGTGGCGCATTGTGGGATCGGGAGCCTCGGTCCAGTCTACCACACCTCGTT